CTTACTATGCTTCCTTTCCTATAAACAATAATTTATATTCTATGTCATTGAATGTTGGAAGTATGTGGTCTGCTCATTTAAGTTTTATTTTATGAGACTTACAGTTAAGAGATTGTCATGAGACAAAGAGACTTTGGACTTTGTAATGATTTTGAGACTGATCAAATATAGAACTTTTGAAATTGGACTGAATGCATTTCTGTACAATGATATGGCTATGATCTCACTGTGTGGTGGTTTATATAAAAATGTTCCCCAAAGGTTCATAGAGAGTGACACTATTAAGAAGTCTGGCTTTGTAGGAGTAGGTGTGGCCTTTCTGGAGGAAGTGTATCACTGGGAGTTGGCTTTGAGGTTTCAAATCCTCAAGCCAGGCCCACTGTCTCTCTCACTTCCTGCTGCTTTTCCATCTAGATGTAGAATTCTTGGCTGCTTCCCTAGCACCATGTCTCCCTATGTACCACCATGCTTCATACCATGATGATAATGGACCAAACCTCTAAACTGTAAGACAGCAAGACAGCCCCGGTTAAATATTTTCCCTTAGAAGAGTTTCCACAGTCACGGTGTCTCAGCACAGCAATAGAAACCCTAACTAAAACAGTTAGAAAAGAATGAGAAGTCCTGGTGCTCAGAGTATGTATTTATAGAGAAACTAATACACTGGTTTTTTTTAAACTAGATAAAAAGAGCCTAAGTGTTTCTAAAAATAACATGATAAATGTTTGAGAAGATAAACGTGTTTAATCTGATTTAAAACATACATGATATATCAAAATATCACATAGTACCATATAAGCATTTTCAGTTGTTTTGTATTAGGTATCAATTAATGTTTTAACAAAATCAATTGAAAATAATTATTATCCCCTAGATAATTCTAGATTAACTAATAATCTAGATATTCTAGATTAAATCTAGATAACTCTAGATTTTCTAAAACGTGGAATATGCTTATGTTCTTCCCCTTGCTCTTACAATCTGTGCCTTATATTGTACTTTCTTTTGAAGCTGCATGTATCAATGCTTATCAGATCTTATCATAGCTACTAAAATATAAGTTGACTGATGGATAGGCCAAAGACCTACTTTGAGTCTATATCTTTTATAGCATCAAGCAAAGTATGCTAAAGAAAGTAGAGATTCATTAAATAACAACTGAAATATCATCCGTCACATAAACTAGTTTCTAATATGAACAAAGCAAAAAAGGAGAAGTTTTAGTTAATTCAGTACTTTAGCTACTAGGTTGCAGCTAATTAAAGCCTTTGGGGTTTGGGAATCTATCACAGAAGTGTTTCTTTCATGAGGGATCCTGAAAACAAAATAAATCAGAATCCCCTTCAGTGTCGCCATTTAGAATATGCAAATTTTAAAGCTGAATAGATATCATCTCCTGTATCTTCAAGACCTAGGTTCTGAAAATTGAACAGAATTATGATAATTAAAATAACATCTAATAAGCACTAACAACTGTTAGTTCTTCCCCAAATATTATGAGTTTGGCATTATTCTTAGCCCGTTTAAATCAGTTTACAAAAGATGACCGCACTTTTCTCATGTCACCCAAGGAGGATATGCCATGCCACATGTGAAGCCTCAGATATATGGTCCCAGAAACAACATATTTCTTTCTATACTGCATACATTGACTAACAAAGTCCCCCAGAAGCAAATTTCTAACTGAAAAGCCTGATTTCTTATCATACCAGAGTTCGACTCAAAAAGATCAAGTTTAACTACTGGACTTACACTCATCTACAGGGAAAATGCCACTCCAATAGTCTCTTCACAAACCTGTTTTTCTCGTGTATAAAATGGAACCTCCTATGACATTTAGCCATTTCTTCACAGTTACAAATATTTGAGAGAACAACTTTAAAAGTGGAACATTTCATATGTGCACACAGGTTTTTCCAGGTTTCAATCCCTTATCTATTTTCTCCATTTCTGTGGGCCTATGGTGACATGAAACGTTATGATAAAAACATAAAAACAAAAAAAGTATCTCTTAACCACCAGGAAGCAGAGGGAAGAGCTGGTGACTCACTTTTAACCTCCTCACCTTCCTGCCACCATCTAATAGTCTACTCAGATTTTTAATCCATCAATGGATGGAAACCATTGGTGGTGTCAACACTCTCAACGTCTAATCTTCTCACACACTCTTCCATGGATGTGATTTATTAATCTCTCAAACAATCCTCAATCCAATCAAGTTGATAGTTAAAATTAGCTACTGCAATTTTTTACGTTACAGTGAGATCATAGACGGTTCCAGTACTTTCTAGACTATAGAGAAAATCATCTGGATCATGAATCCTAATATATTAGAATTGTGAAGCCACCATAGATAAGGTGGGAAATTGTATGAGGCATAAATGGAGCCTTAGTAGTGCTCACTGAACTATAAAATGTGAATTTCAGAAGAGAATGGAAATGACATTCAAACTATTTATGCTCTTAAATGGACTCCAGATTATCCCAGCCATCCAGAGACTGGGCTGACTCATAGTCCATTACTACAGCTATCCCCATTTCATCGCAGTGATACTTTAAGGATTATGAGTGCTGTTATAAAACAAGATTAATGGTAAGAGCCAATCTCACCAGAAGGTCTAAGAATAGTTTTAAGCTTTTGCCAACCCTACAAGTTTTTAAATATCTTTAGACTAGAGCTTGCATAAAGGAACCTTCTAAAGTGAGGATCGTGTACATCTGTATGGTGGCAGCGAGGAAAGGATGAAATTGTCTGGAGTTGAGCAGCAGGATAAAACTCCATGCTTAGCTTCTCTTGGAAGTTCCCTGTCCTCACCTAATCTTACCATTTCATTGACGACTGCTTTCTTCCCCCACTTACAAAATGTGAGCCTTAATTATGTCTTGTCCTTGAAGCATATGTCCATACAGGATCTCTCTTCTCTGAACATTAATCTATGTTTAGTGTCTTTCTCAAAAATGACTAGGGAAAAACTTCTCATCATTAAAGACCCAGAAACATCATGGCTTTACAGTGAAGATGAAAGCTTATAAATCGCTGTCTAAGATCCCTTAAGTGATTCACCAGGTTGGTGAACAAGGCCTCTGTTATCTGGAGAACCATAGTCCTTCAATAATTTGTCTCTACTGTTCTCTGGTGAACTATCCTCCATACAATTGAAGCTGGAAAACAGAAACGTCAGTCTAGAAAAGTACTTTGAGAAGCAAAAGTACCAGAAATCTGATGGGACATTATTTATTTTTCAGCAAGAGGAGCAAAATTTGGACTCATTGTTTTCTATCATAATCCACTAACCAAGACTGTTTTGTGGTCATGTTTAAGCAAATGGAAAGCAGGGAGGTGTCACTTTTCACCAGGAGAAGGGGAAAGCAGGGCTTTTAAACCAACCCATTTGCTTACATCTGAGATTCACATGCTACTTATGATTAAGCTCTTTGAATAGGTGTTTAATTTTCTCAATCTGAGGCCATGCTGAATGAAGAATTCTTTGGGGCAATATTTTAAATGAAGATTAAATAAATACAATCAACATAATGAACAGAAAAGTTGGAGAAAGAGTTCCAAATGGAAGAGAGCTGACTTAGCATGCCCAAGGCTCTGGGTTTGGTCCCTAGGACTGCATAAAATAGAAGTAGTAGTGTATGCCTAAAGTCCCAGTTCTCAAGAAGTTAGAGACTGGAGGATCAGAGAAGTTCAAAGTCATCTTTAAGGACACAGAGAGTGTAATACCAGAATGGGCTATGTGAGACCATTTCTCAAGGAAAACGACAACAAAAACAAACAAACAAAGAACAAAAAAAACCAAAATAATTAAAAACAAAAGTCCAATTCTTGGAGATTCCCTTTATAACTTTCTCCTTCCTTGTTCCAACCATACCCTTCAAAAATTACCAGCCACTGCGTCACTGCTGACTTGATTTTTGTCATTACATAATGTGCCACACTTCTAGATTTGTAGATAGATGAAACCACACCGTACACACTGTTTTTATATAATTTGTATAATTTGTCACAATTGCCTTTATGTTAGTTCACATTGGAAAGAGGATTAGCCAGAATTGGATAACAATTTCTCGATTGTGAATGACTTGCTTTGAGTAATAAGATAAGTAGAGTGTTTCTTAGGAAAATAAGGATCAGAGTTTAGAAAGCAGATCTATAGGAGGTAATGTTAAATTCATCCCAAGAATTCTGAGATTACGGTATTTCTAGATGTGAAACTAGAGACAATGAAGTATATGCTTTGGTTAATTCATTCAAAAGAAATATACTAGCAAGTATTCATATTTAAGGCATGGGAGAAGACAGAGTTTTATGGTGTCAGACACAGAATAGAATCAGAGCTAGATAAATTCTTTCATTACTAGTCAGTTAATTAGTTAGATAGCTAGTTTTATTTATCTTACAAAGATCTCTTCAATGCCTTGCTCACTATTCTATAAAGTAATATTATTCATAAACACATAATATAGTAAAGGACAATATTACATGAGAGTATAGATGAAACAAAGTAGAAAGAATTAACCATATAATAGGTGAATCCAATTCTGCTATAGAGGAGATTGCTTATTGCCACTGTGCCCCCTCCATCTCTAGATAATGATGATGGCAGTCTTCAGAGAATGATCCCAACATTGACTTTGGTGGATTAAAGAGAAAGTCATGCCACAATCTGCCAGTCATGGTTCACACAGCAGAAGAGCTGAAAAATTCACTCCTTCTCTGAGAAGCTAGTGCTGAAGGCTGACACCAAATTGCTCAGTATCACTCTATGACTCTGAAGAATAGTCACGTGGCTCAACTATAAGAACACTTGTCTCGACAGGAACACAATTTTCTAGGAGTAAGAGGTCCAGAAAGCTAGGCTAAGCACTACCACTTACTAGCGAGGTGACCTTGGGCAAATCACTTTTCATCGCTGCTTCTCTCTTTTTCCTGTCTGTAGAGGAGGGGCCTCACTGATTCATACCAACCCTGCCATTTCTCCCAATGGCAGTTTTGGGGGACACATTGGGCCATGAAAGGGAAGCTGGTTTTTTGTTTTTGTTTTTGTTTTTGTTTGCTGGTAAATATAGTTTGTTTGCTCAGCAAGATTAAGGAACATAATAAATATTCAAGGTGCACAGTGTTTGGACTGTAACACAGTTTAACAATGCTAATCTGCCTCGTGGCAGTCTCTGCTTACATCAGCTTCACGTATTTATAAAGATGTCCTTATCACCAAGTGCTGGGGTCAATTTTAAACTCACATTTTCATTCATAGCTCTATGTAGCCACCCTGCAGCTGCTGATTAGTATGCTAGGTCTTCAGCCCTTAACAGAGAGGTCATTCAGGCAGGCAGAGAATAAATCTCGGCATGTAGTTTGAGACTGGAGATACTATTTTAGGACTACAACAGGGTGGCCCAGGTGATATTTTATGGATCTGAATTTTTCTGAGAATAGTGTAATTGCTTTCCTGTTCTTGGCTAATTTTCCTGATTTTTTTTTCAACTCAGCACCGTGATCAGTCTTACCACCCCAAGTAAATTGGTAGATGTGACCGTGAGATGCTCAAAATCTATCACCCCGTGTGTTGGAGAAAACTGCTTTCAAACTTAAATAGGGCAGAAGTTCTTTCCAGGCAGTGCAGTGAGAAAAGGTACCATGGTGAAATGTGCCTGCACTGCAAACAGAAGGTTGCTGTTTCCCAAAGATGTGCTCATAAAGTGAGTGGAGAAGGGGAAAAAAAAAAGAACTTAGACAACTCTCACCACTATCTATTACTGTAAAATGCCAGAAGCAATTATGATGTCATGTGTTGTCTAAAATTGGAGCAGAGAGACAGCTTGAGATGCAGCGAGAGCTAATAAACCAAACAGAATCCACGAGTTTTACTGCCCCGTATTGTTTCTTTCCACAATTATAGGCAGCGAGAAAGGCATCTGCCACATTATACTCGATTTATTCGTCCTTTATCTTCTCTCTTCCTTCTCCTGCCTTTGTTAAAAAGAAAGTGTGTCAGGTTGAGTTGCTTGAGAATAAAGAAAAGAAATGCCTTTCTAGATAGAGCTAATGTAACACACTGTTGCAAACCTTAAAAATATCCCCTGATTAAAATAAGCTCTCCTGGCTTGTATCTACTCTAACATTAAGCATCTAACAAAAGGAGCAAAGAATTCCATCGTTAAGCAAGAGCGATAAAATTAAAAAGGGTCCTCACTATTTGGAATCCTTCTGATCAATTCTGCCTTAGAAAATCTAGCACTGGAAGCCTAATTTCTGACACATTTCCTTAATCGGGTTCCTAATCTAAGTTGACACATCTTGATTTCCTTGGACTGAGGACATTAAGTAGGGGGAAGTCAGCAGCTTGGTTTTTGTTTGATTTCTTTTTCATCTCAAACATCATTAAATAATTCCACTCTATTTGTAACTTTCAGATATGATCAATCATTTTATTTCTCTCCAATGATTATGAGAGTTGAGGTTGAGGGTTGAGAACTTCTGGACTCATAGAGCATGAGTTATTTTCTCTAGTATCTAGAGAGCCATATTTGACAAACTGCAAAAGTAGCCGAACAAGCCATTTCTCCCAAATCAGTCTAAGAAATTTACCCAGAGAAATGTGTGTGTGCCTGTGTATATGAAAGCATGTGTACATGTGTATATCTTGTGTATGCCTGTATGTATAGGTATGTAAGCTCATTGTGTATGTGTGTATGCCTGTGTGTATTACTGTCTGTATGTATACAAATGTACCTGTGTATATGTGTTCATGATTGTGTATGTATGTCTGTATGTATGTGTGTATGCTGATTCTTTTCTCCATAAACTGTAAAACTTTCTCATTTCACCAGTCAAAAGAAGAATACATCAAATAATATCTGAGCACAACCAATTATTTCAACAGGACTTCAATAGCCATCCAAGATCACTATTCTCTTCTGTCTCCATATCCTACACTTTTATCTACCTTCCTCCAGCCCTGCATGTGGTGAAGAAAATCTTCTTACAGGAAGCAAATATCACATTATTTATGTGAACCACATCTGCACTCAGGTTACAGAAGCTCTCAGACCACATCTGTTGAATGTCAAGGCCAAAACCACCCAACTCCACAGGGATGTTGTTTGCTCTGCCCTTTTGGTCATCTGTAGATTGATTTTCATGTTCCAGCTAAACAAACAGTTAGCAAGGCTGAGCATTGTTTCTTGCTTCGCACTGAAGACCCAATTAGCAAACACAGTCAGGAAACAGGTCGAAAGTGAAGGTTCAGATGGACCACTAGAGGCCAAGCAACTTTGTCTGAACAGCTTTTCAATGACCTTTGTCCTCATCACAGATGATCTCCCATAAAAAACATGTCACCAAACTCCATGGTCCAAGTCAGAGAATATAAATCATGGTTTATCCAAATATCATAAGTCATTCAGTCAAATCAAAAGGCCCCAGAAAGATCATTCCTGATAAAGAATGAAATGCTGGCAGATAAATATAGAAACATTGGTTAGAAAAGGCTCTGAGCTACAGAGGCAAATAAACATACCGTAAATATTTAGACAGCTTGGGTTAAAAACAACTTGCACAGGATGTCTTAACTCATGACAAAGACCAGTTCTATGATGTTCGTGCTCTTTTCTCACTAAGTGACAGAGACACCCTGTCATTAATGGCACTTTTTTTTTCTCCCACTGTAAATTCCCATCAGATTGATGTCTTTTCTAAGTCTTCCTGGCACAATTACAGGCCAATAACACATCAGAGATGGCAATCTGGCTAGCTCTTTTACCCGTCATACATTTGACAGATTTTGGTCTTGAAGTTGCCAAGGAGCTATGAGACCCAGATAATAAACTCACCAGGGATGAGAGCCATAGGCCTCGTGTTCAACATCTCACTCATAAAACATGTTTGTACAGATAAGGCCTGGTGGAGATGGATAGAAGACCCTTAGTATAAAAGCTGCCCCAAAGGCAGAATTAATGAACCTCACATGCATCCAGCCAGCATTTTCAAGATCAGTCTTGGGCAGGTGTGGTCCAGGACTCTGCTCAGTAGTTGCAGCTGGAGTGATCACCAAGATGACTGCCTCCATGACATCTGGTAAAATTCTATGAAAGCAAGAAGCTAGGATCTTTTACTGTTTCTAGTGGCCACTATCTTCCAAATCTAACTCTTCTAAGGAACACACACATACACACACACACACACACACACACACACACACACACACACACACAGATGAAAGTTAAAAGAGTCATATTAGGGGTTAAAGAGATGGCTCAGTGGTTAAGAACATCTACCACACAATCAAGAAAGAGAACTAGAGTTTTGTCTTAGCACCATCATAACAACCAGATGTCCTGAGCACTCTTGTAGCTCCATCTACAAAACAAAAAAAGTGATGGGAGAATCTTCAGGACCTCCTGGAGTCCAGATTAGCCAAGAAACCATAAGTCCCAGGTTCAGGAAGAAAGCTTGTCTCAGTGAAGTAGGCAGAATGGTGGAGGAGGTACCCAGCAGCCTCTTCTGGCTTCTGCATCCAGACACAGGCATTTGTGTTCCTCCACACATACTTAATCATACTCTCACACATGTGGACACAACACACACACACACACACATACATACATACACACACATATATAAAATAAGTAAACAAACAAACAAATAAATAGATTTTTGAAAGTCAGATAAGTGGTCATACATGGAATGTGCCTTCATTAAAAGGCAAGTGTTTTCCAAAAGCTGGACTCATTTAATTAAACATATCTATCACAAGTTGTGAGCATTTTAGGTGGAAGAAAAAAATACTAACAGCCAGGCTTAATGTTCACTTCTCAAAATTTAGTTGGGCAGACAGAGTAAGTGATGCATTAACACTATGACCTAACCAATGGCCTATGACAGATCCCTGAGTCCCAGCTGGAATTTAATAGGCTGTTGATTTTAAACTCTAACCTTTTTTAAAGCAGCATTTTCCTAATTTCTCACCATCAGTAATTTACATGTTGTTCCAGTTCTTCAAATGTTCCCTCCCACTATGCTAATGAAGTGGGAAAGATGAAGCCAAATAATCCTGTGTGAATTCTATCACAAGACAAAGACCAACTCCTGTTTCCATATATATTAGAAATTTAGTTGACTGAGAATCACTTTGTTGCTCCCTATCTTCAAAGAATGTGGCATTTATGCTGCTACTCACATGGCCTCTCTTTCATCTGGAAAGGACTCCCTTTCTGCCCACCCACTCACCCACTGCCAATAGTGGTGTGCCTGTGAAGGCTGAGCTTCTAAGTGACAAGTGATGTCCTAGCATCCTGACTAGCTGATCTCATTACCCATCCACCCCCATCCTCCAACCTGAACTTCATCACTCCTGCTTCAGCATGTCCCTCCATCCTACCTTCACTGGAGTTACTCATCCTCTTACTCTTTTCTCTCAGGCAAGGGACTGCTCTTGGAATAGTGGGGTGAAAAGAAACCTATCTTCCTGATACTTTCTCTTTCCTATTTATAGTTTCCTTATTGTGGTCCCTCTTCCCTTAGGACCAACTGTGGAAGTCAGAAAGGCAACCTAGACTGTTGTTTGTCATTCGTAAAAGTAACACAAATAAATTCTGATTAACAAGAGAGGTGATCACATAAAGAGAAGTAAGAAAATTTACCAGACATTGATTCTTTTTAACAGGCCCCAGACCTTTATACATACCTGCTGGGGGCACACTGACACCTTCATTGTCCCAGAAAAGGAACCATCACCACCTATCTGTGGTCTTGGGCAAAGCAATCCCATATCTATAAAGGTTAGAGCATGACAGGAAATCGAAACTAGGAAACAGGTAGAACCTGGTGAGTCAGATTATATGTAAATTTGCTATCCAAAAGAAACCTCCACCTAGAGTCATCCAGCTCACGGACCCAACTCCCCTCCCCATATTATATTTGGATTGCAATCAATTCTACAATCATCTCTACTTCCAATCCTGACAACTGTAAATTGGACCAATCTTAGCTCACCCTCGGGCAGTGGTTCATAGTGCCCCTTCAAAATGGTACCATTATACCTCCAATGACCGGTTGCTGGGTGAAGTGGTCCTTTCCAAATCATAGAGACCCTTTGACCACACATAAACACTACATAACTATTCATTAGAAACTGAATATAGCACACCATCAGCATAGGGAAACTCAGCAATGTCAAGTATGTATATTATAGATGAAGCTATGAACATGTACATCATATATATATATATATATATATATATATATATATATATATATATGTGTGTGTGTGTGTGTGTGTGTGTGTGTGTGTGTGCGTGGTGTGTGTGTTTGTGTATGCATATGTATATGTGTGTATATGTATATATGTATGTATGTATATATGTATGTATGTATATGTTTATAGGCTCAACTATAATGGAAAAGAGGGCCAGGCCCACCTAAATCTCGATTTTGGACTTCCCTGAGCCGTGCACAGTGAGCCATCCATATTCTTATTCCCCTGTTGATGTGATCAGGCTCTGCTGCAGTTGGAACTTCAGCCCTAACTGTAAGGGATAAAAAAAAATTAAGGACCTCAGTGCACAAATAGACATAGAACTAGACCATTGAGAAAATTCTATTTCCTGTCTGGAAGGAAGGTAGAATCCTTAATAGAGGTTGTTCTTCAGAATCACAGAGGACTGGACCGCCTCTTCATGAAATGATGGCCTCTACATGACATGGGACAAACTTGTTGATTCTATGCCAACCAGTGAGGGGTAATTAGAAACTTTAGCTGTGACCAGAAATAATTTTTAAGAAAAACAAGAGAGACACCAAGAAACTGTTAACTGGTATGAAATTATGCACTTCCTTCTTTCTAGTCGCCCCCTGCCACCAGATAATCACTCTACTTACAACCATTGCCAGACCATTGATCTTTTTGTTCCTAACCTTCATTATAAAGCAAAGCTTGCTCAACTGCCTACATGACTATGTAAAATACCGAGTGACTTCTGTTAAATGTTAGTACTGAGGGGACAATATACTCTCTGCCCCAAAATGAGCCCACTATTTGGCTCATGCTCATAGAAGAAGGGAATATAACAGATCTCCAGACCTTAACACAATTGATACTATGTTAAAGGCTCCATTCTCACCTTGAAACCCAGCACACAGGCCACAGAACCTGTCAAATGGGAGCAACGACCAAGTCCATAGTGCAAAAAAACTCCTCATGTAAAAAAATCCCTAAATGTACTAACCTTGCTTCTTGGCTTCTATGGTTCTACTTCTTCCTAACTAGGTGTGTAAACCAGGATACACTTTTGGTTCATAAAAGACCAAGAGCTCAAGGCTACATGATTTGGGCAAGTTCCCTGTGCTGCCAGTGGCTGGCAATAATGACTTTCCTTCTGGCTCTTAGAGTATCCATGTGGTGGTCTCTGGTGAGCTCACCTCAAAATAATTTCAAAATAACATCTTATTTCTCCAAGTATTGAAATACAATTCTTGCAGGAAATCCACGGGTTATGGGTTGACTTTCTAAATTCTAGAGTATAAACTAATTAATAGGGCTTTTGCAGAACTAAAATAATGATTGTGAATAATTTAACATAGCATCTACCACATAATAACTGTATGGCAAACATTACCCAATGCTAATATTGTCAGGAAAGAGAAAAGTGAGTTATAAGTCAACTGTGAGAGTTTTTTTTTAATTGAAAATTTTCCACCAAATACCCAATCTTGTAAGGGCCTAGAAGACCATATGCCTCCTTCCTGCTTCCTCCTCCCTGCCTGGATCTTCTTTGACTCAGCTTTTCTCATACAGTCGCTGGAATTCTTTATTCTATTCACCTGCCACAAATTATCATTCTACAAGAAAGCCCACTTATCTGCACTCAAACTCTGAGTTAATTTTTGGCCTATTCTTTGAAATTTTCCAGCAGGGATTTTTGCTGTCTCTATAATTATATACAAACACTCTTACAAAAATTCAACATCAGACTGATATTGTGGTTGATAATGCCCCTTCACAGTGGCACCATTATACCTCCAATGACAGGATGCTGGCTGAAGTGGTCCTCTCCAAACCACAAAGAGAGACCCTTTGACAACAGGTAAACACTACACAACTATTCATTAGAACCTGAATATAGCACACCATCACCACAGGGTAAGTCAGCTTAAAAATCATAAATGTCAAGACATAATTAGCTTAAAGGTCAGGTTTAATTACAATTGTTGAACTGAAATATGGTAATTACTGAAATCATGTTGGAAAATTATTTTAATGGTTGGAAATGTTTTGTTGGTGCCTTTGTTTCTATGAAATAGTGGTTCGTGATGTTTGATGAAAAAAAAAAAAAAGAAGAGTGAAGGGGTTTTGCTTCCCTGTGTGGATAAGAGGGCAGAGAACAAAACAGAGGCTGATGAAAAAGGTCTACAACCGAAAGAGCTCTACAGAACAACTGGTCCATGTTTTGGTGTTATTAATCATTTTCTGATAATCATGCTTTGGATATAATTTTAATGAAGCTTACAGGGAACCTCAGTGTGGTACACTGTAGCAACAACAGGCGAGCACACTCATCATTTGCTCTGTTGGTTTAATGGCAAAACAAATCAATAAACAAATAACTAGTGAGAAAATAACTCAATAAAGAGAAAAGGTTGTTTTACCTGTAGGATTTTTGAGATTTCTAATGGGACTATTTATTGGCTCACCTACCTATTTTTCTTGTGTATATATATTTTTTTAATTAATCCTCTCTCTCCTTTGGGCTTCCAGGGACTGGAAGTTTAGAACAATCTCTCATTTAATTTCATATTTATGTACTTTCTTGTTTCCGAATAAGCCATAATAACTTTCAAAGTTCAGTTCAGTCTTAAGAACAAAATATAAATAAAAACTTCTAAGAAATCTAAGTGATATGATGATATGCTGCAAGTTATCACTATCTCCCCAGCCCTGGTGGAAAAAAAACAAGTCCTTGGGAGGATTTAGTCTGAATATTGATGCATTCCCAGGGGGAAGAAAGGAAGCCTTATCCAGGGTAGCTCTCAGATGGAGATTAGTGCTCCTGAAAAGAACTAAAACATCAATTGCTTGAGGAAAAAAAAAATGTTAAAATGAGGCAGAAACCTACAGAAAGTGTTTTGTCAAAATGGAGAACAAAGAGCTAAGGAAACTGTGCGTTCCTATCTGAAATACACACTGAGGAAGACAGTTTTCCTTAAGAGAAGAGAACCGGCATGACACCAAAGCATTCAAATAGCTCCAAAAAAGTCCACCGGTGATGAGAGCCAGAGCCGAGCCTTCAGCACAGACAATGCGAGGAGAGCCTGCACTCTGCTGCTCTTCAATGCTGAAAAAAGAAAATGACATTTAATTAAGAGTTGCCTCCCTTCCAGGTACTCATGACATTGGAATAAGTGTGGACATGTGGCACTAAAGCTTGACATCAACATAGTTCACCCATGAAGTCATTTTCTTAAGATTTACAACCTATTGTATGAGGAAAGTGAAAATTCATGACAGCTTTCCATCTGGCAAGCCAGATCATTAGTATTCACACTGATAGCAGAAATGATTTAAATTTCATAATCTAAGTGAAGATGTGCATCAAAAATTTCTTCTAAAATATGTCTAATAGCTCTAACTGATTTCTTTATTAGACTCTGCCTATGAGGAAAAAAACTGTCAGATAGCAATGAAGAAGTCATCAAATGTTAATTTGGGTCTATTCCACAGATAGAAATTCATAATATATAGTGGCAGCATTGTGGTTGAAACCCCCACTCAAGCTCTCTGAAAGAGAAATGTAGTAAACTAACTAGACTTCATTGCTTCTAAAATGAAAGCTGATTGCCTTGTTTGATCTGGTTACAGCCGGCATTTCCAGTCATAACGATGATTATTTATTAAATACCAATAGCTATTTTGGGGCAATGGAGGAAGGAGAAAGTGCAGCCGTTGGCATGTGTTGTTCAGGGTTGATGAATAAATCTTGTTAACAGAGAGGAAGAAATAAGCGTAAATCTCCCAGCACAGGAGAACGACTGTGCCATCCATTTTTCTGAATTAAAGTGCACTGTCACTGCAAAATGCCCTCATGCTGTTGGAACAGAACTGTATACGAAGATAAACCCTTGAAAGCACAGATAGAGAAATGTTTAAAACAAAAAGAAATGTGACTTGAAAACAAGCATAAGACCTGGACTACCCTTATCCAGTAGTGAGCACTACTTAAAAAATATGCTTAATTTTAAAAAGAGGTTAATACAATCCCAGAGGTTCTTGTACAATGCTGCAGAAATAAAGAAAAGAGCAAGAGTACCAATTCAGAAGACAGGCTGGAATTAAATTTAGCTGTAGTACATTTTCACTCTGTGACCTTGAGCAAGCTATTTATCCTCTCTAGTATGCTACTCCCCCATCTGGAACATACCTGGCTCTATGAGGCTGTTAAAATTCGAAGTGGGATGCTATATAGGAAGCTCCCAGCACAAAGAATTCTTAGGTATGCAAACATTATGGGCTTTCTGCAGAACTGAAAATAGACAGTACTTTGTGCTTCTTCTAAACCCTCGCATCATGAACTTGGCTATAGGAACGGAAGGAACAAGATATGACAGAAATTGTTGTTCGTGTCCAACACTGACCCATCCCTTATTTATTAAGGAACAGCAAATTATGAAGATTGCTTACATCAAGGGTGCCTGGATAAATACATCCTTACATAATCCTGGGTCAATAACTAAAACTGGTTTCACATTGGGCATGCATGATCCTAAAAAGTGCTATCTGCCAAATATGTCTGGTCCTCTGTCCTCTGTACACAGGTCACCCTGCATTACTAGACTCCCCTGGATGACAATGGGATCATGTTATTAGCTATAATTAATTCATTAGGAATGTGAGTAATGTTGGGATTTAAAAGAATCATGGGGCCTAATGACCATGCATGTTTAAGATCCTGGCTGCTTTCTCACTCTAAGAGGGTTGATAAAGGCCTAAGCCAATTATCAATAGACATGGCAAACAGCAATAAGAATATGGGGTTGCAACAAGCCTCTCATATTTGAAAACACCTGGTTCTCACAGCAGGCATTGAACTACGCTGACCAACTCACCAGGCCCCTTCTACAGTGGCACAGATAAATGAATAACAGACAAAGAGAAAGATGCTCCCATTCTCCCAAATATTTATGGAATAGTGCAAACACTCACTTGTACCTGAGGTAGAAAAGGTTATCAACATAGACCTCAGAGAGGACTCAATGCTTGAGCTGAATCATGCTCTTAAAATATTTCAGTGACTTATCAAACCAATGGGAGGAGAGGCTGTAGAAACCATCTCTAAAAGAAGATTGAAAAGGCAAAAGGTAGCAAGAGGTTAGTTTTCTGAGACTCTTCTTTAAAAGCAAACAAATGAGACCTAAGATGGAGTTTGGATGTTTTCTGGCAAGACAGAGGCTTTTCCATTGTAAACCTGTGTTTCGGCAGTAAAATTCAGGACCCTCTGACAATTCCAGAGTCTCAGAAATAATAACACTGTTTAAATAACTGATGGCAATTGAATTCTCAGAGTATGGAATGATGTAGAACTTGGCTGCTGAGGGGATATGACGCAGCTCTTTCTATTCCATTCAGGAAAGTAAAGTTTATACATACAAAATTAATCATTACCCATCTTTAACATTTCAATTCAGTTCGTGTCACATACTTCCCAAGCCATTCTGACATACTGATAGTTCTTAACAGCAATCTTCAGCTGTGGTTCAAGGAGCCTTCCAAACTCTTTACTAGACAAGGGCATAGAAGAAAAAAAAAAGTGTCATGGAAGTGCAACAGATAAATAGATAACGTCATAAGGAAAAACAAAAAAGGCAGGATACTTGAAACAATCTTGTACAATAAAAGAACTTCTAGAGGTATCACCATCCCTGATTTCAAGCTGTACTATAGAGCAGTATTAATTAAAACTGCATGGTATGGATATAAAAACAGACAGGTTGATCAATGAAATGGAATGAAAGACACAGAAATAAACCCACACACCCTACAGACACTTGACTTTTGACAAAGAAGCCAAGGAAAACATCAAATCACCTTCAACAAATGGTGCCTGTCTAACTGGATATCTGCATGCAGAAGAATACAAATAAGTCCATATTTATCACCTTGCACAAAACTCAAGTCCAAGTAGATCAAGAAACTCAGTATAAAACCAGACATACTAAATCTAATAGAAGAGAAAGTGGGGAATAACTTTGAACATATTGGCACAGGAGACATTTTCCTGAACAATACACCCATAGCTCAGGCACTGGGATCAACAATTAATAAATAGGTCCTCATAAAACTGAAAAGCTTCTGCAAAGCTAAGGGTACCATCAATAGGGCAAAACTGCAGCCTACAGAATGGGGAAAGATATTCACCAGCCCTATATTCAACCAATAACTAATGTACAAAATAAAAAAAGAACTCAAGAAATTAGACGCGAACAAGCCAATAACCCAATTAAAAAAAAGAATGGGATACAGAGCTAAACAGAGAATTCTCAACAGAGGAATCTTGAGTGGCCAAGAAGTGCTGAAAGAAATGTTCAACATCCTTAGATTCCATAGAGGATATGGACCTGTTCTTTGGGGGCAAATCCAATATGCATTGTCAGGATATCAACAATTCAGCTCACATGAATCAGCAGAAGTAGTTCTATCCATTTCCAACACCATTCACAAATGAGCAATGGCAGTTCAGTCCAGAAGAAACCACAAGGCTCTGCCAATCAGTCAAAGACCAGGGAAGCAGCAAAAAGCCCTGGGAATATCACCGAGAAATTCTTTAATGTGTTTCTCTCTATAAAGTCATGGCAAATGATGTTTAGCAAGGAAATGGCAAGGCAAGTCAATACCATACAGCATCATCCATTGTTTGGTTATATTTATACCCTTTCCAAACATCACACATGTTCTCTCAAGCATCCACTCTAGGAAAACATCACATGCCCTTTTTCTAGGCAGCTTCCAGAAAGACACCACATGTCTAGTCTCAGTAAAACACCACATGTCTATTCTCAGTAAAACATCCACCCACATGTCTGCTTCAACAAAAAACAACCTCTCATGAGACAGTTTCCAGAAAAACATCACATGATACAACCGTGTCTCCAAAGAAACCGGAAATCTCCACCTCAGAGGGGGACATCAATCCACCCACAAAACGTTCAGCACAAAATTTGTTCTGCCTACAAGATGCACAGGGATTAAAAAGAGGAGAGAGATCAAGGGACTAGCAACCAATGACTGGCTCAACTTGAGACAATCCTGTCGTAAAGATACAGCCCCTGACACTATTAAGGATACACTTCTATGCTTGCAGACAGGAGTATAGCATAATGGACTCCTGAGAGGTTTCATCCAGCAGCAGATAGAAACAGATGCAGAGACCCAAAGACAACAGAAACAGAGAGAAATGGTAAGTTTGTTGTGCCTTGTATATCATGTGTAAAACTTATTTAACTAGTTAGGTAACCAGTTTACTAAGATGCCATAGGCACTCAATAAACCTGTGCTAAATACATCAAAAATCTGATAATCGAAAAAATTCTGAGAAAAACAAAAACAAAAATTTGTGGGCAAAGCCACCCACAAATATATTTTTAGGATAAGTAAAGATCGATCAATCACAACATCTTCCAAAAAGCGTTTTCTTTGTTACTATTATCCTAAAGCCTTATGGCATAAAAGGAAGTAAGTACTACCACGTCACATTTGCTTTCTGAACCTACAGCAATTATTTTAAATAATTCACTACATATTTTACAGTTGACCATAGGTACATTGTTACTGCCTACAGAAGAAAATGGTCTGGAAGAGAAATGACACATGGTCCTTGATTCTCAGGCTTCTCAATACATTGTGAGTGTTTGAAAGTAATCAGACAGCGTGGGGGTGGGGAACAACAGAAAAATCCACACTTTCTAACTTTCTTTTTAAATTACACTTAATGGTACTCTTTCTGAGGAAGGGTAGAGCACATGAGGTCAGTGTATGTTGATTGATATGTCAGGCTCTCAAGAGAAAAGTACTGAGGGGGTTGAGAAAGGACAGCAAGGACAGAGTGAGAGGGTTGGCCTCAGAAAGAAAAAATCATGAACTTGTCCACTTGGCTTTTCCAAAATACAATCTACAAGGATACCTCCTACAGATACTTTCCAAGAAGCGATGAAATGTACCGTTGACTGTATAGCAAACTGTACGACATACAGTTTCACTCTCACAATTTATCTATAGAATGTTGAGAGAAGTATCATCTGTTTCCCTACCAGGAAACAGGCAAGAATAATCCAACAACCATACAGAGGGCTTATTAGAAATTTAATATGCTCGAGATAACACTCCAGGAAGTGCGTGTGTGTGTGAATATA